TAAGGGTGTTGGGTTCGATCCCATGATCTTTGAATGAACGAACTTTACTGTCTTAGCCAAGTCGGCTCCTCGCCGATAGGTGAAAAAATCATAGTTTTACTCCAAACACATTATGAATTAGTAACATTCTCCTATATTATGTTTTTTGGTCGGTTTGCATTTTTCCAAATACAATAACTATTCATCAAAGAACATATAAATGTAACGTTTAATACAAACAAACAATCATATCTCTCATGTCAAAATGTGATTTACATATATACATATATTAACGCACTCTATGTTTCTATAACATGTTATCGTACAGTTAGAGCATTTTCCAATCTATCTTTGCAAATAAGTGCTGGAGACAGCATTCATAAATGACCCTTGACTAGGATGGCGGCCTCAAACGAAAAATCTTAACGTAACATTTAAAATGAAAATTTGTCATACGATCTTTATCAATGAGTTTGTTAGTGCATGGCATGTGTGTGTACGTGTGGTGATGTGTGGATGTGTGAGTGTTAAACCCCAACCCCCCCCCCCCCCCACGTACGCGCCTGTGTGCGTGTGTATGTGTGAGCGTATGGTGGATGGGCACGTAGCTCTGTGTTGTACGGTGGAGTAGAAACAAATGCAGCTTTTCTTTTTTCAGAAGTTAAAACTAACCTTTTCTCAAATATACAACACAGAGATATTATAAACTATATGAACATACGCAAGAAAAACTGCCTATGAAAACAAATTGTGGAAAACAAAATTGATATCTAACTTCACTCGCTAGCGAACATACATGTAATGACATCGATATCAAAATCATAACATCTACACCTTAATTAGAGACAATAAGGTTACATTGTGTTTTGCCGTATAACGTCTGTATTCTTTCGTAGGTTCTGTGATTTTTTTTCTATAGGTGTTACTTTAGCATAATACAATTTCAAATAATGTTTGTTGGCAATACATACTGATCTACCCCTTCCACACTGTATGAGCTCATCCCTCGACTCAAAGATGTCGGCAGAACCCTGAGAAACAGTGGGGTCGGGCAACAAGTCAGATGCAAAACTCAAAAATTTCGGCAAGGTGCAATACCATACCTCACTGACTTATTGAATTTAATTTAAATTTTAACTGGAATTTCGACACATCATCTTCTGTGACTTTTTAATCAAAACTTGGAAATCACTCTGAAATTTATTGCAATGTTTTATGAAACGAACTTTACGTAAATAATTGTAACAACAAACCACAATTGCATCTTAATCATTGTTATGTAATTTGCAATTCGCATGTACTTTGAACTTGATTTAAGTGCAATATTTTGAGTAAACTATTTGATATTTACCATTGTGAATAGTAATAATAGTAATAATATTGATACTAAAAATAGTAAATATAATGATAATGATAGTTGTAATGATAATAATAATAATAATAATAATAATAATAATAATAATAATAATAATAATATCAATAGTAGTATGGTGTAGTCAACGAGTGCTAACTGGCACTGCCTGTAAGAAAATAATTTCTGCTTATATTTGTACTTAATCTTTTTCATTATGATCTCATTGCTTTAATTATTACATGTTATTACCTATTTTGATTCCTGTAATTTTGATGTTTGATTTTACCATAATTATACAAAACCTTTAATTCGGCTTTCGAGCCGCGATTGATTTTTTATTGCAATAAACCATTACTACTACTACTACTATATATGAAAAGAGACAAAGGGATTTCAGTTTCTTTCTTTTTGTCAGCACAATTGTCCTTAGACGAAAGTCACCATGATCATCGTTCAATGACAAAATAAATAGAAATCAAATTCCTTTTATGTTAGCCCTGTCTAGTGTCAATGTCGTCATAAGCAATGACGATTCTGTTTGTTTAGGCTTGGTGCCCATTTAAATTCTATTCATATTGTGTCACCTTTCTAGACATGTATGAGAAACCAAGTATTATTGTTAACTCCCCATGACCACGTATCGTTTGCTCTCAGTTGCTACAAACCCAGCTTTCAAATATGCAGACCAATATTTATTTTGTCGAGTCTACTCATAAATAAAGTGGTGCTGTAGATCCAGTAATTTCAATAAGGGGGAAGGGTAAAGGAATCATAAGTGCGATAAAGTGAAACAATATAACGTGGTCCGCTAGACAATTAAATACGGATTTCTGTCAAACGAACTCGTTCAAAGTTAGCCAATGACACCAAATATGCAAAGGCCATGGACCATGTAAACACTTCTGAAACATGGAGAGGTGACACTGCGAACATTTTTACCCAAAACAAATTACTTCCATGTTTATAGAGATGCTTCAATATGAACCCTTTTCCCGTTGCAATACGAATACTTCCACCTGTGTATCCTGGAATACTTGAATGCTTGTTTTCAAATTGTTAAGCAACTATCATGCAGTATTCATCTCCGTGAGATTAACATTTCATTTTTAGAAATGACCTTTATATCGTCATGTGGATATTGTACCTACGGGTTCTTGTAATACTCGTCGTTCAAGGGCTAACGATTTTTTTTTTACCAGTGAGTTCCTCTTTGCGATAGTTTACCACGTTTACTTTCAATGGTAGAGTTGCTATAAATAAACGAGGAAGTTAACAAAGGAATCCAGCGTTCTGTCATTCCCCAGTCACACAAAGCATACACTCGTGTATACAAAGGGGGAAGTGACAGTCCCTCCCCCCCCCCCCAGCAGAAATATTATTTTATTTAAAAACAAAAAACACCTTTTCGAGAAAAACGTGAAGGGAAAGACAAATATGATGCTTAAGAAGAGTATTGGAAATGAACACTGTATTGTCGTTGTGTGTTTTTATTTTGTTGACAGTTATGGTCGTTTTATATTATATATCTATCTCTGATGCAGCAAAACTCCTCCCTTTGCTAAATCATGAAAACCTTCGCTAATCTATAAAACATACCACAAATACACAAGGAATTGCATGATTATAATTCACCGTGAGAGAGATGGGTCATCTGCTCGCTCCCTCACGTCCCCTTCCATGACGCCAAATCCCAGATACGCCACTGATACCATATTGATACTAGACCAAAAACAGACCGAACAAAACATTGCATTTAAAACGAAAGGGGAAATATCGGACGGCCTGTCACCCCTGTCAATGCCATCCCGACTCCAAACCGACCTGGTTTGGAGTCGGGATTGCAGTGTGACCGAGGTATGACTACGTACAAATAAGTCCACTGGACCGAAACATGTGCCACCTTTTGGAAGGCTGAACATCATATCCATATCTTCCTGAATGCAGTATGATTGCTTTGATAACTGAACGTATCATTCAAACCACTGCCTAGTGTGGTGAACAGGAGATCACGGATTGATATGGGTCACAGTGTTTGTATTCTACAAACTTATTGCTCTCCTACTAAATTCACAAGCTAAAGTGATAATACATAAACAGTCAAAATGGATATATGTATTGTGCTTTTCGTTCTCCTGCTGGTACCCTGTAGCACAATGTCTCAAGATTACAGTAAGTCAAATGTCGCCTTTATTCTGCTTTATTTAGTCCTATTGTTGTGTTTATATTTTGTTGTTTTTAAACATAATTTTCAATGTCTTTTGATGACTAGCATAGTGGTTTGATCTAATATGTGATCCTGATGCCATTCCATGGCATAGGCGTCTTTGAAAAAACTGCATTCATGTTGTGTTCAATCATTTCAAAGATGTCCTCCTACCAGGAAACCATATAGTTGTAATGCATAATTTGGATAACTTCAAATCAAATCAACTCAAATTCATAATGTTATACAGTTTTGCTAATTTCCAATATTACCGTATCTACATGACTGTATAAACAGACAATTTTCTGCATTTATCATACATGCATAGTTTGAACAGCTCTTTTTCGAATCCTTCTTTAAAATAATCCTAATAGTATTTGATCTACATGTATATTACCGTTAGTTTTAGTTACACATTCATTTATAAATTATGTTGACCTTATCTTTATATTTTGTTTTATGTATGCACCAGCCAATGTGGAGAGCCTCTCGACAGCATTTTTTTAATTCTTTTAGGTGATCCTCAGGCATTGGCTGGTGCTAAATATCATTATGTTTACAGTATGTTCTATCATTTGTTAACCTGGTGATATTTTGTATGTTATCATCTTGCCTGGAAATGAAATAAATAAATAAATAAATAAATAAATAAATGCATCTGATACCATTTGTTGATGAGAAGTCTTTGCTTAACTGATGCTAAATGCTCCAGGCAAGGACTTAAACCCTCGTCTTGCCATAATAATAAAATCAAATGTATGAACCACTATGCGTATGTAGTCCCAGGTCAAAGTTATGTACTTACTGTCGGCCCACTTTGGGAGTCGAAATATAGGCCACTGTCACTGACTATGTCATTAAAGGAAACCGAACCCCAAGAAATGACTTTACTTATTCTGAGAGATCTATTATATCATTGCCCATTAGTCTACAAGATGCCCCACCAAAATGTATGAGAGAGATATAAAGCAAGAATAATGTAGATTCTCAGCACGATATGGGCATCGCCATTTTCTTGATAACGTGACGTACTATGCGAAGTCTACACAATTATATGTATAATCTAGTTTAGGGTTTTAAGATAAATTATACTGATAGTTTTAAAAAGGTCTAAGTTTAGCCATGATTTATAATTAGGGATTCTTGCTCTTACTATTGACGTTTTTTATATAAAATAATCTAAGACAAGATGTCTTCATTGACACGAAGGTTAAAATAACTTATTTACATTTGTGAAAAAAAATGAAAAAAGAGGAAATTGTAATGATTTCTAAGATGTGTTTTTTTCTCTACATATTTCATATTCCTTGTGTCTAAAATTGGAAACGAAAGTTTCCACCTTTAATTTTCCAAAATATAGATAATTGGATTAGTTTGGTATAATAAATGAAAGTTACTTGGCAGTAGCGAGGTACAATTGACTACTCACATAATTGTCTTTTTCTTAATTCAACAGTCATCAAATTGAAAAGTGCAAAAACAACGATCACCATTTCTTCTCCAAATTATCCGAACAACTACGGTAACAACGTCGACATTGAGTGGCAGTTGATAGCTCCTAAAGGTTTCAGGATTATGGTCCAGTTTAATGATTTCGATCTGGAGCCGCAAGGCACCGATGGCGCATATTACGATTCTTTGAGAGTCTATCACGCGTTAACAAACTCATTCGATGACGCCACTCAAAGAGCTCGTCTTTCGGGATCTTCCCTACCTGACAACTTTTCATCAATCGGATCTTATCTGTGGCTTCGGTTCACCTCTGATGGCAGTGAGACGAAGAAAGGTTTTTCATTATTGGCCAGTGCAGTCGAACCAGGTGAGTATCGTTGAAGTGTGGAAAGGTATCGAAAATGGGTGCAATGATCAGGAACGATTTGCATGTCGCGTCAACACGACTAACCCTTGGTTAGTGGGAAAGTTGTCCCTAGACAAGCTTACCTTAACATCTAGGACACTTTCACACAAAGAACTAGGTATATAACTATCATAGGACAACTACCCCATAAGAAAATTTTCTTTGCGCTCACGGTAATAGATGCTGCATCCCTGGATAATGGGATGCTCCTTATTCTGAAGGTTCCATTTTTGCCGAAGTTCTTTATTCTAAGGCTTCAGTTCATCGAATAGACAAATAATAATTTCCTGTATCCGGGGGTTTATTATTGAACCCAACATAAAATGAAGATTTAATATTTATTGTCCGAATTGTCGAACAAATTTATTTTTGGAGTAATATATACTAATTCGTTTAAGGAATTGCGAGCCTTCGGTTTAAAGAATCATTTAGAACAATGACTTTTTGGAATAATGAAGCCCCGCATAAACGGTGTTGTGGTCGAGTGGATACGTCGCCGGACTGTCGATCACAAGGTCCGTGGTTCGAGTCCCGCCGCCGCACTAATGTCCTTTGGCAAGACATTGATCTACATTTGCCACACTCCACCCAGGTGAAGTAAATGGGTACCTGGTAGGAATTTATTCCTTGAAATGCTAGAGCGCCGTATGGCAGCCGTGCTAAAGCCAGGGTAATAATCGGGAGCGCCAGGAGGGTCAAATCTGACTGACATGAGCGCTATACAAGAACCCACTATTATTATTATTAATATTTGTAACTATGACCCTTCGATAAACGAGTTGTAACTAGTAAAGATTCATATAATGAAATGTATGGTTTCAGGGTGTCAATGTTTGGCAGGTTTTTTAAACAGCGGACTATCAAAATGTGATTCACTTCCATTTGTGTTAACATAATTTGTAAGAATATATTAGCTATACATGTATGATTTAGTTTAAGGGGTCGATAGAAAATTGTTTGTCATAATCATAAAAGAACATCTGCTTTTAACTATAGATCAGAATTAGTAATTCTTGACATTACTATTGATGTTTAAAGCAAAATTCAATGTCAGGTTTAATAGGGGATATCTTTTACAGCGAAGTCATCTTGCTTTTTCTTTATAGTCGATGTAATTTCGAATAAAAAAAGCAATTATTGCAGTTTTAAAGATGTTTTTCTATACAGATTCGATTATTCTCTTCTTCTTTTTTTTATCTCCGAATAACCGGAAACGAAATTTTAATTCTCTGTGGGGCTAATTCAAACAACAACAACAAATATTCTAACATGGTTTATTCACCTGAACAATTAATTCTGAAATGGGTCTTTATTTCCTTTCTTTATTGTTAAAGTTGAAACAAGATTGAGCTTGGTGCCGATACTAAGCTCCACTTTGGCATCGCTATCCGCCATCGCTATCATCATGCTTTTCGTGTGGTTGGTCTGTCGACGAAAAAGGTGAATATCATTTCATTATCATTAATCTCGTTGTTAATTTGTTTACTAATGCATGTCCTCGAACTACACTCAATTATTCATTTATTACCGAAAGGTATCGCAATCCATTATCCCGTAGGAAAGGAATATCAGCATTAATGAGTGATTTTAATCGAAAACGTTGTTGAAATGGACGTTGAGATTATTATTCAAGAATAGATATAACATCCACTAATTTATTTTGGGGCCATCCAAGTAGACAGACGAAACATAAAAATACATATAGAAAAATGTTTGTCTTTTGAGCCGTCGCGATTTGGGGAATGCGCTACATAGTGGCTGTAGCATCGTACCATTCATTGTATACGTTCTAACAAAAATGCACACTGCCTTCATTATGATATCAGGCTCAAGCATGTGTCATCTGAAGGTATCGCCGCCTCCAGAGAGCCTCGGGAGAGTCCTGGAATAAAGAATAACCCGACATTTGAATCGTCCAATGTTCATGATCTCCGGAAGTCAGACGTTGCGGATTGCCATGGCGGGGATGATCCATACATGGCCCTTACGACCCCCCATAATAGCCCTACATTCCAAGTATACCAAACATTAAGTAAGGTAAACTCCCAAGGAGATGGATATGAGGTACCTGTAAATGGGTCCAATGGTTCAGAGTTCCAAATACGCCCTGAGACCGACTATGAAACAACACATAAATACCAGGACCCTGATATAGTTGGAAGAAATATTCCGCAGTATGAGAGTCACATAAATGTTCTTCAGGAAATGTCTAAAACCGACGCTGAAACACCACATGAGTACGAGAATATGAACGTGTAATACATGAAGTTGGGTTGTAATAATAGTTCATTAAGGCGTCTAATTCAATCACAAATGACCAAATTATTAAAGGCCACGTGAATAGTGTTTGTTGGAAATCCAGCAGTTCGAGATTATAAATGAGTTTGGGGAAACTCTGAAGGAATTGTTTATGTATAGGACCCCATTGACGGTTAAGCTATAAGCAATATTCCGTCGTCCAAAATTCTTATAAATCAGCTATAAAGGGAGACCAATGCAAAGGAGGACCCTAAGATTGATGTCACTTGGGATATTGAAATACCGCAGTATCGGACTCCGGTCAACTCAGAGGACTACTCGTTCAATAATACTTGTAAATATTTTGTTTTCTAAATAATGAATAAATGTGCCTTTTCGTAAAGGATGTTAAACTCGGACAATTTAGTCGCTCGAAATATGTAAAGAAGACATTTTTTCTGAAATACTCCAATCTTTCCCATTATTTGTATTTTTTACAATATTTAAGAAAAAAAGATGTTTGCGAACTTCATGAATTATATTTCACATTCCTCTACTCCAACATGTTCTCCTCATATCTATGCATTAAAATGTTGCCATAAAGTTGGAGAAAACTTTTTCTTACTCATGAAATGAGGTAAGAAAAAGTTATTCCAACTTAATGTGCAACATAAATCATAACATTCATGATTCATGTTGCACATTAAGGTGGAATATTATGTATATATGAATTGTATAGCTAATATTTTAATTCATTATTAATGCTTTCTCTGTCGATGGGATGACAGAAAGCACATCTACTGCTGATGTTGAAGGACGATAAACTCAAAGAAATTTAGTCGCTCAATTTTGTAAGGAAGACATTTTTTTTTTGAAGCGCTCCAATTTTCCAATTATTTGTATTTTTCATAATATTAAAGAAAAAGAAGAGAAGTCTATCAAGGATTTTTATTTCAATTGTTTGAATTACTATTTTTATATCGCCGTGATAGAGGATTATCAACGTTATTAAATTGTTAGTATATGTATATATATAAGAAGAAGAGATTCGTGTTTTTATATCTCCAATAGTTTTTTATTCGGTTTTAGGTCACGAATTTTTGATGTACATTTCGTTTTTATCAAGGGATCATAACAAGAATGAAAATATTGATAATGTATATATAAACTATGAAGAGGAGATCTATGCTTTTATAGATCCAATAGTTTTGTATATGTTTTTGTTTAAGGTCACGAATTTTTGATGTACATTACGTCTTTATCAAGTGATCATGACAAAAAAAAATATTGAAATGTTTCTGTATATAGATGTGTATGATAGGTTTTTTAATGTAGATGTTTTCATTAGCCAACTAATGATGTACCTAGAATAAATTCATCCTCTGCCTTGAGTGAGAGGCCTCGAATACCTGGTAAATTAGGTCGTTGTAATCGCGAAGATTTAAAATTAGAATGCGATTAGTAAAATCTCGACCAACATTTAGTTTTCCAAAGAATATGCAAACTGTATTTCTTTTCATAGTGTATATAACCAACCATTAAGCATATCAGATATTTTGAATGAATGTGTGAACGAGTTTTAGGTTAAAGTTGCATATATATATAATAGAACATATTGCATCGTCACAATCATTGTTGTATATGTCGGTGGTAAACAATGATTATGAAATGAATGACATAATAGATACTAATTTAATAAAGTAATATTTTTTAAGAACCAACCTCGGTACTAGAATAGTTTCTTTGTGTTTGAAAGTCCAATGACGTGCAAATTAACATTGACTTCTGTCGACTGGTACAGGTCTACTCTATGACATCACCAAACTAAATATATTTCACGATGTATTTTGAACAATATTCCCCTCGTTTGATGCAAGCTACTAACACCCCACACATGAAAGTCCTTCTAAATTAGTTGTGTCGCTCATGGCATGAAAGTGATATAACATCAGCATATTGCGCTTTATCCACAGCTTTGACAATACCCATACCTACAACTTGATTTCATTTGATTTATTTTATTAGTGTTTTTTTTCTCTCTGGACACTGTTGGACACTGTGATGAGGGCGCGAGCCTAAAGTCTCTTTCTCTGGTTAGGCAGGGTTGGGTGAATCGTAACGCGCAGAGATTGCTATCGGCATCATAGTGTATTGGCACACTGATTTTCGCAAAACATTGACAAAGGGGGCGCTATAAGCAATAGAGGAGTCAGGTTAATTTGATCATTTGTAGGGTTATTAGTTTGACATTCTATACATTATCTAAGGTTGAACATAATTTGTAATGTTCCCCATTGTATGCCAGGAACGTGTAAACAGCCCCTGGACTTGCATTTCCGCATTAATGTACAGGTGTTTATTTGTGATAAAGACGTTAGACAATAAACCGTTTTCCGGAGATCTAACATTCTTGCGGAGCTGTAGGCTCCTCCTACTTTCTTCAGTACGCAGTCAGAACCACGCTATTTATTGTGCTTTGTGATTGGATATATTTAATTGAATGTATAACTCCTCTCTTGATTGGTAGATTGAACGAATCTCGAGGTCGATTAGCTTACGGGTCATTCGATCTACATATCATATCTTGTAATAAGGGAGTTTACAGATAGCTCATAGTACAAATGACCCTAAATATCCATAGATCTTTTACACATGGAGAAGTTCCACTTTGAGCATTATAGAATAATAACTGCCAAAGCCCTAGATGTGCTTCATGAATACCTTTTGTTTGCCCTCTTGAAAAGAATACTTCCACCTGCGTATATTAGAATGTACCGTTGGTGCATAAATGAATAATGTTACATAACTTTCATGAGCGCATATCCAGTATTCATCTCTGTGGGTTTTACCTTTTTGGTACAAATGACCTTTATCTGCTCATGCTCAGACTGCAACCGTAAACTGGCTTATTGGTTGTCTTCGTAAGGGCCCTCCCAACTGGCTAATAAGAGCATATGACGAACAAATAAGACACCGATAACACGCTGCCGGGCGTTCGAATATTTAAGCGTCAGGTTCACGACTTCGTACTCCAGTTTTACGTTTCTGTTTGAGGATGTGCTGCGGAATGCTTTAGGACCGTCAAACCTCTGAGAGAATAGTTAATATGAAATGCCAACTAATAAACGATATCAGTTTTAACTAAGTCTTTGTTTGAATCGACAAAATGACAAAATCATACATCCTTCACAATTACTGATTTACTGCATTTAATGTTATTTTACTGAATGAAGATTCCTTGTTGTCGAGGGCTGCTTGTTATTCTATATTTGGTCAGACGTGCATGCCAGCATAACAATAAAACGTATTTTGGAAAGAAAATATTACACATGCTACCTAAATTGCATTTACTATTGCAGGCAAAGCATTTTACTACTGCTGCAATGTATTTCCATTAGCGCCATCTTTCGGTGAATACATATTAATGAAGAAAAGTACCCTTTGCGGAAATATAAATAAGGGAAAAATTAGCAGGCCGATCAGAAGGAAGGGCTAGGACAGACGACACTGCTGGAATGAAAGCTGAGTTAGGAGCACTTGTATAGGAGCAAAGGGTGTTAATAGGCTTAACTGTCTTAGCAAACTCGGCTCCTCGCCGAGAGGTGAAATAATCATAGTTTTACCAATGAATCAATCACATTCTTTTTTTATTATTTTGGTCGGTTTGAATTTTTCAAAATACAATAACTATTCAACAAAGAAGATATAAATGTGAGGTTTAATACAAACATACAATCAATCATATCTTCATGTCAAAATGTGATCTACATATAATAACGCACTTTATGCTTCTATAACATAATATCATACATTTAGAGTATTTTCCAATCTATATTTGGAAACAAAGTGCTGGAGACGGCATTTATAAGCGACCCTAGACTAGAATAGCGGACTAGAATAACATTTAAAATGAAAATTGTTTATACGATCTTTATGAATAAGTTTGTTAGTGCATTTTATGTGTGCACAGGTGTGCGCGTGTGTGGGTGAGTGTGTGTAGCGAATGGTAGATGTGCACGTAGCTCTGTGTTGTATGGCGGAGTAGAAACAAATGTAGCTTCTTCTTTTTTTGAGAAAAAATAAAAACTAACCTATTCTCAAATATACATCACAAAAAAAATTATAAACCATGTGAACATACGCAATAAATACTGCCTATGAAAACAAATTGTGAAAAACAACATTGATATTTAACTTCACTCGCTAGCGAACATACATGTAATGACATCGATATCAAAATCATAACATCTACGCCCTAATTAGAGGCAATAAGCTTTAATAGTTACATTCGGTTTTGCCGTATAACGTCTGTATTCTTTCGTAGGTTCTGTTTTATTTCTCTTCTGTTGGTGTTATTTAAGCATAATACATATTTCAAAATAATATTTGTTGGCAATACAGACTGATATATATGAATAGAGACAAAGGGATATCAGCTTCTTTCTTTTTGTAAGCTCAATTGTTCGTTCAATAATCTTTAGGTCTTTATTCACCATGATCAGCGTTCAATGACAAAATAAATAGAAATCAATTCCTTTATGTTAGCATAATAGTCTTTTGTCAATGTCGTCAGGCGCAGTACTTGTTCTGTTTGTTTAGGCTTGGTGCCCATTTACACTCCATTCAAATTGTGTTACCATGCTCAGACATGTATGAGAAACCAAGTAATATTGTTAACCCCCCCCCCCCCATGACCACGTATCGTTTGCTCTCAGTTGCTACAAACCCAGCAATCAAATCTGAACACCGATATTTATTTTGTCGAGTCTACTCATAAATAAAATGGTGCTGTGGATCCGGTAGTTTCAAATAAGGGGGAGGGGTGTAATGACACCAAGGAGGGGTAAATGAATCATAAGTGCGATAAAGTGAAATAATAGAACGTGGTCCGCTAGATAATTAAATACGGATTGCTGTCAAACGGACTCGTTCGAAGTTAGCAAATGACATCAAAAATGCAAAAAGCCATGGGCCATGTACACACTTTTTAAACATCGAGGTGACACCGTGAACATTTTACCCAAAACAAATCCCTCCCAAATTGATGGAGATGCTTCATAATTAACCTTTTCCCCGTTGCAATACGAATACTTCCACCTGTGTATTATGGAATACACTGTACTTGAATGCTTGCTTTCTAATTTTAAAGCAAATATCATGCAGTATTCATTTCCATGAGATTAACATTTCTTTTGTAGAAATGAACTTCATACCGTCATGTGCAAATTAGTTATACGGGTTTTTGTATTACTCGTCGTTCACAGGTCATCGATTTTATACCAGTGAGTTCCTCTTTGTGCTAGTTTACCAAGTTTATATTCAATGGCAGAGTTGCTATAAATAAACGAGGAAGTTTACAAAGAAATCCAGCGTTCCGTCATGCCCCAGTCACACAAACCATACACTCGTGCATACAAAGGAGGAAGGGGCAGTCCCCCCCCCCC